GGAGGGGCTGTTGTGGTACCAGCCTCGGCGATTATGCGGTTTCAGATGGAGACTTCTGGGCTTTGGGTCTGGCCATGGTTTGTCCGTGTGAGTTACTTCGGGCTTGTCGGGTAGGATTGAAGATCTGGAGGTCGCTTTTCATTTGACTGTTTGTTTGGATGTTCGTTAGGTGTTGATGGGCGTCGGGTTCGTGTTCTGGCAGGGGAGGGAATTGTCCTTGTTTATTCTTGTTTTCTTTTTTTGCTTAGTTTTTAGATGGTGTAGTGTGTTGTTTAGTCTGGCTTTGGGTTCTCACAGTTTGGGAGTTTTTGCCTCCACTTGTTGGAGTTTCTGCCTCCACTTTGTTGGAGTTTCGTTGTGTATTTTTCTGTGATTTGTGTGTGTTGGCATTAGGTCAGTTTAGACTACACTCTGTGTAGCTTTCCCACTTTCAGCGTTTTAGCTGGGTCGTTTCAGCGTTTTCGCTGTTTTGGTGTTTGTAATTTGTGATTAGTATTATAAAATCTATCGTTTGGAAAAAAAAAGATTTATAATAATATCTATTGTTTCGGAAAAAAATAAAAATAAAAAATTATGTATGATAAATATGCAACAGTAATAAATAACTAACAACTTGATAATTAATTCAAATTGTGCCCATATTTTTACACTAAATTTTCCAAAACTGATCAAAAAGTACTTTTAGTTATCGTTTTGAAATTACGTATGTAGAAAACTGATATTATTTACAATTTCAAATATATTTGATTCGTTTTATTTATAAACAAAACAAAATTTATTGTATTGTGATTATTTTTATATCTATAGAGTCGTCTCTCGTGTTTATTAATTTTCAAATATTTTGAGTTCATATAATTAATAATTTAGAATTTACGTAGAAATGTATCATTTCCTAACTTTATGAAATGTAAAATTATTTATTATATTTAATTATAATTAATAACTTTATGATATTCTTTTATATTTACTATTTTAAATAATACAATAACATTCATTTTTTATATAATCTATTTAAATTGAGAAATTATATTTTATGATATTTCTTAAAATTTATTTTATGTAATTTTATCAGAAATTTATGAAAAAAAATATAATATTATTTTTATAGTGTATTAATGAATTAGGTTTTATTCGTTTTATAAAATAATTTATATTGTTATAGGATGTTTTTTAAATTGGGTTGATAGTAAAATTGATTTAATTTTAAAATATAGATGAAATTATATTTTATTTTACATATGCATTATAGATGTCAAATTGAAGATCGTTAAAATATAATTATATCATATATAAAAAATAAAATACAAATAAAAAAATTATAAAGTTTTGAAAATAAAAAAGAATACATATTTATAGTAATTATTAATTAATATATGAATTAAATAAAAAGGTAAGATTAGTATACGGTAACTTAAGGAAAATAAATACACCTAAAATAGTTTATGGCAATTCTCAAGTCTGATAGTCAAAATCAAACCCGAACATGTGTCAATACGTAACATCATTTTATGACTAATAAGTTTACGAACAGAGTCGGTCCTGAAAAATTGTAGGCCATGAGCCAAATGAATAAATAGTGCCCATATTGTTTTTATCATAAAAAAATCACAAACAATTTATAATATTACAAAAAAACTTGATACAAAAATTTGAATCCTATTTTTTTGGTATCAAGTTTGGAGATTCATGAAAACAAATCCAAATACAAATTAACTTTAAACCATGCAAATTGGATACAATTTTTGGAAATAAATAGTTGTATAATTCTTATCAAATTTTGAATAATTTTTTCTTTAAAAAATGTGGGAAAATTGGGTAAAATCACTTGTGATTTTTATTTTAAAACAAGATTAAATTTGGATGGGATATACATTCAAAATCATATCCATTTTTTGGTAACAAAACTGGTTCATCTTTGACATTTATCAAACCTCATCCAATTATTTAAAAAAGAAACTCAAATCAAATCCTGTACAACTTTTCAAAATTTGAATGCACCAATTTTTTTTGGATTCTTATGTTTTTTTTCTTAACTATCTTTTAGTTTACCGAGATTTTGGTAAGTTCATATCAATTTTTTGTTAAGTTCATATCATTTTTTTTCAGGAAAGAAATAGTTGGATAAATCTTAACAAAATATTCCGATCTTTTATTATAATTAATTTCAATTCAATTTGTTTGATTAAAAAATGATGCAATATTAGGAACATTTAGTTGCATTTTTATAAAAAATTGATGATTATTTTTATTTTGTTTTAACCAAACATTCGGATTAATTTGTTTGGTAGAAAAATTCGGTTTCATTTTTTTTAAAAAAAATAAATGATTATTTTCAATTTTACTTAATTAAAATTTTCAATTAGAATTAAAAAAAAAGGCGTGAAGAAACCCAAAAAATCTCTACATCTTTCTACTAGAATTTTCTTTAATAAATAAGATCCTTTAATTTTATTTTTTTATAAAAAATGTAATTTGTTAATTAATAACTAATAATACATAATTTTGGATAAAATTTGAATACTCATGTAGTATTTTACTTTCCAAATAATCAAACTAAGAATGTTACATAAGAACGTGTTGAAAAATATATAAATTTTATTCTCACATTATTTTTAATGTCAACAGATAATTTAAATACAAAAATATATTTTAAAAATAAAGTAGGTAATAATGGTCTCGTGCATCGCACGTACTAGTTATATATTACAAGCATAGTTTTTTGACCTGTACCGGCCCGGCCGGTCGACCCGGGACCCGGTCAACCCGAGACCCGGTCAACCCGGAGTCGGAACTGGTCTGGGTGGGCTATTTGGACCGGGCAACAAAGGACTCGGTCAATCCCTGCCAACTTGGTCTTGACCCGGCCGGGTCAACCCGATTGACCCGCACACACACACATATATATATATATATATATTTAATTTTTTTTGTTTTTTTCAAAATAAAACTATGTATATATGTTTATATGGTAATATTATCATGAGATATATATTATTAACATTTTAATGTACAAAATTTGTACACAAAAAAAAAAATTAATTTTGTACCTTTATGTATATTTATATGAAAAAATACTCTATATATAAATTTAAAAATTTTAAAATAAATTATCCAGTTTAGCAATTGATCCGATGACCCGACGATTGAACTGGTGACTCGAAGACTTGCCCGAGTCGATTATAGGCCGAGTTTAAAAACTATGATTACAAATTATATATTGTACAACTTACAAGGGCGATAACAATCTATTCCACATAACCCGTGCTCCAAGTCAGCTGGTAGAAATCATTCGGTAGATCCACGTCATTAAATACGTGGCGGCGAACTCCTCCAGGTTTAAAAAGTCCCACCACCTACCTCTCACCTAAATGTAATTCCATTTGTTTGACTTCCTCCACAATAATATAAAATAGTTAAATAAATCCCTAAACAAAAGAGAATAAAAGGAGTAACTACATATGAGTAGAGTAGTATTAGTTTTCGAGAAATATTATGGTCCCGTTATAGTACCATTTCATTCGATTTAACCGTTAATCGTAACTACATGTGTATTTAACGATTAAAACTTGGTAGTGTGGGAGGAACGTGACATTTCTCATAGTATTATTTTCTTAAAAAAAAAAAAATACATAAATAAGAAAAAGGAAAATTGAAGAGCAGTGATTGGGCAGTGGCAGTGTCGTCAGCTCTGCACCCCACAGTATATATATACACAAAACACACAGAGGATCATCTTCACATAATCATATCTGAAAAAGTGAAAATCATATATAAAAATTGGAAGAAAATATGAGCAGCTTAAGCAGCGTGGAGGCGGCGCTGCCGCCGGGATTCCGATTCCACCCAAGAGATGAAGAATTGGTGTGCGATTACCTCATGAAACGGGTCACGGGTCGCCCCACCCACCCCTCTCTCATCCACCTTCATCTCCACAACTGCGAGCCATGGGACCTTCCTGGTAAATTCCCAAAACTTTGTCTGCATCACAATCTGATTATCGATTTCCCATTGATGTTCACATTACCTCATCACAAATCATCCACCGAATTTTAGGGTTTTAATCTTAATTATGATTTTACCTGCCGAAATTTTGCGATACAGTTGATTCACGATTTAATGATTATATTTGAAAATCTTTGGCTCTTGTTGTTTATCACTGCAGATATTGCATGTGTGGGTGGGAAAGAATGGTATTTTTACACCCAAAGGGACAGGAAATATGCGACAGGGTTGAGAACAAATCGGGCCACAAACTCGGGCTACTGGAAAGCCACTGGTAAGGACCGGCCCGTAAGCCATAAAGGAAAGCGGGTTGGTATGCGAAAGACTCTGGTGTTCTATGCGGGCCGGGCTCCCAAAGGAAGTAAAACCGAGTGGGTCATGCACGAGTATCGCCTGGAAGAAGGAGCCCATTATGGGCCCGGCCCTAAAGCAGTTTCCCCTGTCAAGGTAAGTTTATTCAGTCTGTTAATCATAATTATGCAACAGGGTTGAGCTTGACTAATCACAATTCTAGTTGGTCATAAATTGTTTTAGGCAAATGCTAAGATCCGTTACGGAATCATTTCGTCGGGGTTTATAACCGTTAGATCAACATGTAACCGTCAGAGATAATTGATCTAACGATTACACATCACGACGGAACATCTTCCTTTTTTTATTCCTCATAGATTAGATTTTCAACTTGTCAAATATATATGAGGGGACGTCATTTAAGTTAACAGGCTGTTTGTTTTCAATAGGAAAGGACTTTTGGGGATGTCCGAATTGTTTAATGCTAATTTTTTGTTGTTTTTTGTAGGTGGCATCGACAATTTGCAATTGTTAGTTTGCTCTAACCTAATTAATTATGAATTATATATATATATAATATATATATATATATTTTTTGTCTTT